TTCTTTATCCACCGAGCGGTCCATTAACCCTGATGCACAATTCTGCATAAGAAGTGACTTTCTTGGGCACAAGGCATGCCGGAAACATAAAATACCATGCTAAACGTTGACAGTGTTTTAAGCTTGTTGACAAACACGCATGGAAAAAGGAACAAAAATTGCTTTGTGCTCAACTATACTATTAACACCCGTAATGTTAATTGCGTGACCACTGAGGACTTCAGGGTACCAACAGGTTCCAGCTGCCCTCATCAGCTCGTTACCATCTTTTTTTCTTGCAATATCCCCCTGTAACCCTTTCTCCTCTTCCTCCTGGGAATTTAGCTACCCGTGTTCACGGTCAGCTCTGACAGGGCACAGCTGCATAACCCTGTGCAGCTCAGCTGCCCTGCTGTTTGCTGTCAGCAACCTGGAGCGGTATCTCAGATGGCCAGACCTGTGCTCTTGTCTCTGTCTATCAGTACACCCACTTCTCTCCCTATTTTTGCTGAACATCGCTAAAACCACTGCAGTGAGTAGTGTGGAGAAATGTAAAATTGTTAGTTCTGCAGAGAAGTAATTACTGGAGATCACTCCTCTGCACTGCAACTCCAAGATCTTCTTGATTTTGCCTGCATTAGTACTCCTGGACTCACACTGAACTCAAACAGATGTGAAGTTACATATTTGTGAGTCTTCAGAAAGATAAATATAGTGTCAGACACTTCTGATGACTTGTATTTTAACTGCTCAACAAAAAACTGTATTTACTGGACAGAAAATTATTTCCACTCATAATTAACTAGTCCTTTCAAAATCATTACAAAAATCAAGTTTAAAAAACATATTTTAAGGATCTGCTAGTGTTACTGTTCAAAAAAAAAAACCCAGCCAGTGGCAGTTACATGGTTTTATTCTCAAAACCACCGACCAGCAATATAAAATATTTCTGTTTAAATATGGTGACAGATTATGCGTTTCCTTAAATAAAGTGCTATTTTTACAAATAGGTATTTCATGTTTACTTTTACTGCTGTTCTAACCTCTTAATATTGATAAAGTGTATTTTGGTTAATGAAGAAGGCAGCATTACTTTTCCTGTATATCCCTTCTCATGAAACCATTACGTTTTCAGTTTGGACACCCTTTATCTCTAGCCAGTAAATAGAGGCATATTCAGTCTACGTATTTCTCCATGCAGAAGCTCTCATAATTTGTGGTGGTTTTCATGCCTTCTTCCGTGTTTCAGTTGTTCTTGACTGTGCCCACGGAGGCCTCCTGTGGGTTCTTCATCTATGGGCAAGAGTAGAACGAAAACACGAATCTTCTTACATCGCCATTAATTCTTCCTGCTCTTCAATGTTCAATGTGTTCTTCTCACATCGAGGACACTGACGCCTTGAACAGTTTGACGCTCAGGCTGAACTTGGACATCAAGCTCTTCATTATTTCCTTTGATTCTTTGTGGGATTTGAATTTTAAGCACATTACTGCAGAAAGTCCTGTACAGGTGTAGGTAGGGATAACTTTTCAAATTTTCATTTGTACATGTGGATTTACTCAGTCAGATACCCAACTTCACCATAAGAAAACAATCCTTTTTTCCAGTAGCTACCTTTTAAGAGAAACAGCTTCTTGTGGTTTCATAGAGCAGCCGGGTGCTGTAAAAGAAAAAAAAAAAAAAATCTGAAAAGCTTCAGCAAGCAAGACCTACAGCTTTGGAGAAAACAGTAATTCCACAACTACTGGAAACAGACCCGTATTTCCCAATATTGTTATACCAGACTCCACCAATTTGACCCTGTAATCCAATTTACTTCTCTTAAGCCCTCTCCTGTACACAGAAAGCATGAAAGGCCAAAGTTAGGTGTGAAAAGGCCACCTACTGCCACAAAGTTTTCCACTATCTCTCTTCTCCCAGTGTGTACCTTTCCAGCAGGTGACCACCTGAATCCCGTATGATTTTTATTTGCAAGTCTATACTGGTTTTGCTCCTCCTTTTACTTTTCACTCTACAATCTCTGTAACCCCCTCCTCTGGATAGTTTCCATTTGGGTTTTTTTGACTCCGAATCCAGAAGGGGAAAGCAAACATGCAAACAACTCCCCACCCTCTTCCACTTTACCTCTACATGTATCTGCAGGTACACAGGTGCAAGCAGGTACCGGTACACAACGTACTATCATATGTAAAGAGAAACTGGAAGAACAGAATTTCCACAAAGAATTATATATTGAATGGCATCATATTCTGTTTTGGTTTTTACCATAGGCGTAGCTACTCTTCATTTAACTTTTATCAGGAGCATTTCAGTTTATTCTTTTGATATCTAAATCCTCCCTTTGTTCAGTGCCCCCGCCAGATCTTGGGGTGTTCTCTTCCCACCTGCTGTAAGAGAAGTGTTATGTTCAGGTGGGGGAGAGCAGCCAGATGTCTACAGCAAATGACAAAGGTCATCCCTCTCTTCAGAGCATTTCAATGAACTTAATACCAGAATACAAACTAAGCTGACGCCAGTCAGCCTCACCTCCACCCAGCAAATCAAATTCAGTAGACGAGCTGGGTTATAAGAGGTAGTTCCAGTTAATACCAATTCAGTCTTCAGTTATAGCCAAAAAAGCAGAGTACTAGAAATAACTAGGAAAGGGCAAGATAACTGAAAATAGAGAACACATCTGAAAAGCAAACATCACTGTCTCATGTGTAAATCCATGGTACGCCTACATCTTGAATGCTGTGTGCTAGGGTGGTATCTCCAAGTCTGAAAGGATACAGTAGCAAAGGAAAAGAGGCCAGAAAAACTATGGCATAGGGAATGATTAAGCAGCCTGTAAGTCCTCCATCTGGAAAAAAAACATGACTAAGGAAGAGTATCAGAGATCTCTGTAAAATCATCAGTAGCACAGTGGCAGAGAAGAGGGAACACTGTGCACTGTACCTTCTGATCCAGCACAATGAGGCAAAAAAAATCAGGGCATGACAAGTGCACAGCAAATGAAAGCAAGCATATCTTCACACCAATGTCAAAGGAGACGGGATGAAAAAGCTGAACACAACTGTATGGACCTTGGATCTGACTCGGTACAGTTGTCCTTATGTTCTAAGATCTTATACATTCCTGGAAATTAAGTCAACTTCCAGAGACCACGTAAGGGTCCCACTGCTACTTTTTACAGTGAAAAGCAGCTTACCTGATGCAGAAACTTTTTATCTACATTTTTAATTCCCCTTTCTCTGTTAGTGCTTCTATTGCTCCTTCACAGCCAAATCTGTTTCATGGAGCTTTCACACACAAAACCCCAAAAACTAGGTCTCTGACGGCAGCCGCCTCGCAGTCTCTTGTCAACTGGTCAGCATTCTCCCCAACTCTGTGCCACCATTACCATCTTTGGCTGTCTTCAAGACACTTAAGATCAGTGGTTCAGCTCAGCAAGTTGCTCAGAGACACCTCAGTCTGTATGCTTCTTCAGTTCTCAACTAATTCCAGTTCGTTGCACCATGGGATCAAGTCCCTAACAGCAGCTCCTGCTTACCTAGTAGTACCTACAGAAGAGGGTCTTCAAGTCTGGGATGTTATCAAGAGGCATCCAGAGTTCCTACATGTGCTGGCTACTTTAGGAACAGGAAGTAAGCTGCACAATGCACTCAGGGACACCTGACAGTGCTCTTCAGCCAAGCAGACTGTGCAGAATACAGAAAGTTGCCCACACTAACTACCCCAGCAATGCCCGGTTTTCCCCAAAACAGCAGTAGGACTACAGTCAGCACCTGCTTTCACGTATCTAGTGATACTCAGGTGATAGAGATTGGAAAAACTTGCTCATTATTAGGGCCCCCTAAACCTGAAATATTATTTAACATAACTACTAACCAAATTAAATTATTTTGTGAGTGGATGCAAGCAGCAAAATAAGCAACTGAAGGAGAGCAAGAGGCACTTCAACATGGTGGATTTCTCAAGGCCATTCAACAGCTCTCATGTCCCTCCTAAAATACGGATGCAGAAATACACATATGAATAGGTTTTGCCTATACCTTAATCCTGAGTTAAGTTTTGCCCCATTCCTTAACCTGGAGTAACAGACACTTATCTGGCTCTGGCTCGGACGGCTGGCAGGACAGAGCTTTGCAACTTTGTGACTGTAGTAAGTGTATTCATTTGTTATAGGTCAGCAACACCGTTCTGTGCTTTTTGATTAGAGCTAGTACCTTTTAAAAGGCAGTTTCTCCAGCAATGGCTCGCAGTTAACACTAGTGCCTGGAATAGATGTATTCCAAAGAAACCAACTACAGACAATCATATAAAAATATCAACTATGAAAAATAACTAAATGTATACATATACAAATCATAGAATCATAGAATGGTTAGGGCTGGAAGGGACCTTAAAGACCATCTAGTTCCAACCCCCCTGCCATGGGCAGGGACACCTTCCACTAGACCAGGTTGCTCAAGGTCTTGAACACTTCCAGGGATGGGGCATTCACAGCTTCTCTGGGCAACCTGTTCCAGTGCCTCACCACCCTCTCCAGGAAGAACTTCTTCCTGATGTCTAATCTAAACCTCCCTGCTTTCAATTTAAACCCATTACCCCTTGTCCTGTCACTACAGGCCCTTGTAAAAAGTCCCCCCCAGCTTCCTTGTAGCCCCTTCAGGCACTGGAAGGTGCTATAAGGTCTCCCTGGAGCCTTCTCTTCTCCAGGCTGAACAAGCCCAACTCTCTCAGCCTGTCCCCATACAAGAGGTGCTCCAGCCCCCTGAGCGTCTTCGTGGCCTCCTCTGGACTCATTGCATAATTAACATAGCTAGCTCAGCCAGTATACTGCAAACATTTTATAAACCTTAAATAGATTTAACCTCCTGGATCACGCTAAAGAAAACTGTCTCCTATCAAGAGTGTGCAAGAGTAAATCACGTATCATACAGAAACGCACCTCCCGCTGCTCCTATGTATATACACCCGCTGTATACAATATACTACAGTTTGCTATACTTACATTCATTTTCAGTGCTTAGTAAAGTGTAACAAAAATCTTAGGCTTTTTTTCAGATAGTACTGAAGCGTGTTTAAAAATCTTACAGATACCTCTACCTTTTAATTTTGAAATCTTCTCAGTCTCAGCAAGACAGGCATGCATCAATCGTTAACCCAGAAGGCAAACTGGCTTGCTTGTCACATTCTGTCTTCTAGCCATTATTAATTAAAAGTATCTATACATTTTTCAATTAATTTCAGGTGCTACTTACACTGGGAATGACCTGGAGGTCGTGTGTTACTAACACTACTCTCGAAGGAAGAGTGGAAGTTGTGTATAGTTTCTTGTAAGATCTGTCTCTCTCGCCCCTGTAAAAGCAAATAAATTAAAGTAAGGTATTCTTAAATTTCTGTTTATAAAATGAATTTATTAAGAGTTCACCAAAAAAACAAGTGTAAATATGTGTGTCTATTGCCCAGAGTCACCTGGTACTATTTAGGAGTAACACCAAAACTTTACCTCACAGGTATGTAGAAAATCTTTTCCTGAAACTACCAGACAGCAATAGAAACATTTTCATTACATTCTTCACAGCTTTATAGCATGGAGCATCATTCACCTCCCCTAATTTTTAGCCTCGTCACTTGCTGCTGTTGATCTTAACTTAAGCTAATTATCTTTGCATTTTTTTTTTTTTTGTTTAGCCACTTTAAGTGTGAGGGAGATCAACCTCAAAACTTAGAAAGCAGCTGAGAAGTGCCAGCAGGTCTAATTAAAAAGATGCTCTAGTCCATAATCCCTCTGAAAAGAACACTGCTTACTGTATCCCATTCTTAGTAAAATTGTTTATGTCAATATAAAATTAAAAGGCAACAAAAGTGTAAGGAATGAGAGAAATGCTATTTACCTCATCACAGAGAAACCGAAAACTGTTAGGCACAATAAATGAGACCTGTCCTTTCACATTATATTCTCTAGCGGGACTATAGTGCCCAGATGTTTCTTTTTAGCATCACTGCAAATCAATATTCAGTAACTGCAGTATTGCCAATGTTTATGTTACCAGTAGTTCTGCTGTAATTTCCAACACTCTGTAAAAGAACTGTCCAGTCACTGGACCAGGAAAGAGCTAATGAAAGAGAACATGGAGTACCACAAAGGAAGGTAATCAAATTTTTTCACTAATCAAATACAGTATTTTTGTTGGAAAACATTCATTTGGTTTTTTTTAACTGACATCTGCAACTGATTTTTTAAATGTGTGTTGAATTAACAACATAAGCAAACCTTGAATTAATTTACTAAGTACAGTACTTCAAAATGTACCTTTCCTGCATTCAGTTCAGAAATAGCTGCCAAAATCTGCTGCCTTGATCCGTCTGTTTTAATACCCAGCTCTTTCAGATCACCATCAGTAAGTGTAAGGAAGGCTTCCATATCCACCTGCATGCAAACAAACAAAACAAAAAAAAATTACCTAAGCAAAGATTCACTAGAACACAATAAAAGGGGTTTTTTGGGTTTTTTTTTAATTGTATCAAATTACTGTAAATACTGTGCACACAAAAAATTTTAATGAAGCATGTTACCCCCTTTACCACTCTGTTGTCAGGTTTTAAATCTGCTGCTAATAATTTAATTAATTATGACAGTATATTTAGGATATGAATGGATTTTAAATTTTTTTTCAGACAAATCCTATCAATTCAAAATACGTACTCTCCCCAAAAATACCTCTACTTACAGTAGCAGCTAGTTGAATAAGCCTAAGATTTCATTTTTCCCCCCACCCAGTATTTGTGGAATTTCAGAATATGACGTGTACTTTTCCACTGTCTCCTGAGGAAAACCTAGGGATTGTCCATTTATCAGTTTTTATTGTATCAACGCATCCATAAGGTTGTGATAAGAACAAAAATCTAAAACTTCTCCCATTGATACAACCTTCACACACAGAGCAAATTCATTTCTACCAAATGCCCCCTTCCCTATTATGTCAGGGAACAAGAACAAACTCAGTGCACTGTGATGAAGCTAAATAACCTGTGTTTGTGGCGCTGAATCCCGAACTGCAGCCATGTCGGTTTATTTTATGTCCATACGCTACCCCCTGCCTTTGGCCACACAAACACACCATCATGACTCACATCTGATTCTGTCTAAAACATCTAATGAATTAATTTTACTTATTTTCAGCAATGTTTCCTTTCATTGCATCCTTCAGGCAACTCACTATCCCAGGCCTCATCTACACCGATGCTTAGGTTCCCCAGTTTAGCTCTCCTGTTGCTTATTTGTAGCGGATACTGAGAAAGCAGCAATGTCAGTGATTCCCACTCTGCTGCTCTCCATCTGCAAATGAGGTCCCAACTGGGATTCCAGGGATGATACAGCATGTCCTATAAGCTGTTCACCACTCTGGCTACATAGAAAAAGCAAAGTGTAAAAAACAGAGAGGGGAAAAAAAAAATAAGATTCTGAAGCACCTATCTATACCAAAATTGTAGGTTTGGCGTAAAAAGCACCGATAACTGCAGTATCCCAGAGAATGCCACAAATACCGCTTGGTCCATGTGTCAAGGTCCTCCTCTGCAACCAGAAATGGTAGTAAAAATTTAAAACTGAGATTGTGGATCACAATCCTGGTGCAAGGTGTGTGGCATCCTACTTTTTCTAAAACAGTGAAAAATACATCTTTTTAAAAAGACATACCTCTTGTTCCTCAAAAATAGGCTGGTATTTCTCAAGTGACAATTTTTTAAGGATGCCAGTCAGCTCATCTGTAGTAATAGAAAAGAAAAAGCAAACAGCCTCCATTCATGGATCAGAAAAGATTGTAGTGATCTCTCCATTGTTAACTGCTGAAAAAATATATATTAAAACTTATATTCCACACAGTGACGTACAGTAACAAAAACCCAATCACATTTACTCTGCATCAGAAATTAATTGGCTTAGTGTATTCTCCCCTATTTCTGTATACCGTAATTCCATCCAGTCTTACATTGCCAGGATTAAATCTTTCTGTTGTATCTCCCTTTCTTCCTCATTAAAAGGATCTTAAAAGAACCAAACCAGTTTAGGCACTTCAATGCCTAAAACACAGGTGCTTGGCCCCAGAAGGCTGACCCAGATCATGCAGGTCAGACCACAAAAATCCAGTGAACTGCATCACAGACAGCCATGACCCAGGAAGGCAAAGTGTAGAGGAAGCAACCACCCAGCTGGCCACTCTGCACACTAAGACAAAGGTATAACTGAGCATCTTCTCCTTAAGTGCCTGATATCCGGGCATCTTGAGCACACTAAGAAGAAACCTGGGCAGAACTTCAGTTTCATAAGCTGATCTTCCAAGGCTAACAGCACTGGAAATGGGATTTCCTCTCAAAGCCTAAGGAAATTAAAAGTTGGAGGACTGAACTGACTCTTCCCACACATCTGAAGTGTCATCAGCCAGTTAAAAAGCAGAAGTGAAATTTTAGAATAACCCGCCATTACCTCCCTTAATTAAACACTACCTCTCTCAACTCAGGATATTGTTTATTTTCATTGCTTTGCTGTCACAAACGACTATCTTTTTTTCTTCCCAGAAGTTTAGAAAGCTGTCAGTTAAAGCAAGGAGTCAAAGTCAAAATGCAGACTGTGAATGATTACATTACACAACCAAACTGTATGTAATGCTCCACACACAAACGATTGTGAAGACATCACTGTTCCATTCCCAAATATACTTTGCTTTCATTTACTTCACTTCTTTGTTTTTTGACTGTCCCTTTTCTTTCATCATCAGCAGAAACACGAAGGAGAATCTCACTCTCCAGGCTTCTCAAACGATACCAAGTATCTTGAGACAGACCCACTTTTCTATGCACCATTCTGGAAGCTGCCTACTTTACGGAGAAGAGCCCACAGAAAAGTGAAGTGAAAAATTCTAGTTTGAGTCTTATTTTCTGCTAGAGTTCTGGTTTTTTACCTCAAGGCCAATTAATTTGGTATGCTTAACACGTTTTTGTAAAGGTTGGCAGGCTAAAAACTTTAGTACCCTGAGGTTAATCCAAGGGAAAAGGGAACCAGCTTTTCATGCATCTTCATGAAAAATGTCCTCTTACAGAAAGAAAATAAGAGTTTCATTAAAAGCCCTTAGATAAATTATTAACCTTTTTTTCTTTTATGTTGCTAGTTAGCCATCTCATTTCTCATCACGCCGGTGTGCTTAAATTATAGGTTGTGCTATGGGAAGAAATTTTCAGGGTCTCTGAGCCCAGAGCCTTGCTTTCACCAACAACTGTAGCATCTAACACTTTTCACACACAGAGACAATGCTTTCAGTTGCAGGCCTTTCACGTTTTCATTTCCCCTCTCCCTCGTCCAGTTCCTGTATTATACATTAAGTTTGAACAAAACCTGGAACCTCTCAGTTTTACAGCTCTTGCATAACATATGGTTCCTCCTTTTTCACTGTCTTTTGCTCTACTCATACCTTGTCTCCCTACCTACATCCCTGGAGAAAGCCAAGGTTCTCACAGCTGTTACTCCTTCTGCCACATTACTCAAGTTCAGCACCCCCTCTGTACTACTGCGCAGCAGTAGGGTAAGATTACCTTTCTCCAAGTTTTCGGAGCCTCCCTTTACTCTCACATGGTTTCGTCTTTCATGATTCTCTACATCACTGGTTCTCAGAACAGGGACAAGCTGTTGATGGTCCACCAAGTGGTTGCCTAGAAAGAAACCATGCACACCTCTGAACCCTGCTGCCTACTGTTCCTTCAGAGTAATATTCAATGCAAATCAATTTTCTAATTCATCCCAGTTTACGTGAAGGAAAAAGAAACATTAACACTGCAGGCCTTCTGTATTCTATATAATCAGGCCTCCTGATTACTGCTGGGCCTACGCGCATTTGTACTGCTGATGATGACCCAAATAACAGAAAGAGAAGCCCTTGAATTAAAGGGCCATTTAAGCACAAAAGCTTACAAGCACAGAGAACCCTAAGTAGTTCTGGCTTCAGACAACCAATCCCTCAGCTACAGAGGGCACTCACTGTATCCTGGCAGTAGTGGTGCAGTCACGAAGCTTCACCAGGTGAGATCAGAAGAGCCCGTAGCTTGGGGAATTCCCCTTGTTACACCAGGGCAACTTCACTTCCCTCTATGTATTTCTAAACTGACAACTCTTATCAACTCTTTATCGTTATGAAATGGCACTAACTAAAACGTGAAAGGATGTTCTCCAGCAGTCAGTACATGTTGCAGCTAAGCCGCGGTAAAAGAACAGAAAGCAGGTCAAATATCACCTCGCTTTAGTGCAAATGGAAGCCCAGTGTCGACGGACACAGTGAGCATAAATGAAAACAAAATAAAATCAATAGGGACACTTTCAAAAAACCAAAAATAGTACAAAATGCCTCTTGCAGAAACCAGATAAAAGGTACCTCCATCTCTTATAAAAAAGATTGAGTCATGTTATTTTTTCCACTTTGAGATGTTTACAGAAGAAGAAGTAATTGATATCCTGTTTCCAATGCAATTAAACATGACTATTTAAAATAAAGTTTTGTAATTCAGACCTAAGAGTTCAACTTAAAAGGCAGTAATCTTATTGTAAAACTAGTAACATTATTACCCAAAATAAAAGGTAAAAATAATGCTATTTTTGCACTTTAAAACAATAAGTGCAACATGGCTCTTGAAAACCAGTTGCATGTAGCTATGACATGCTAAGAATCAAAACTGTATTTCTGTAGTCATGTGCTTCACTGCATTTATTTTAAAAAAATAAGAATTTCAAATGTGTAGAAAGAATATTTTCTACCCTCAGCAAACACTGAAAATCAGGATTTAAGCCAGAAAGGGGGGAAGGAAGGAGAACACCTAATAGTGGCCTACCTACATGCTCTACCCTAGCTTTGAGATGGTACCAATCTCCCTGTACGTGGAAGGGATTACAGCTTTTGGGAGAGAAATAGCTAGATGCTGTAGGAATGCCAATCTTGCAGTAAGAAACACCAACGTGTATTTTCTAGAAAGAAAGAAGTTCTCACTCTCGCGCAGACACCCACTAATCTAGCCCAGCTACAGCTTTACACACTCTGTGCTCTCCATGAGTGTATCTCCTGTAAGTACAGTGACCTACTCACCATCTTCCGTAATTGTTCCACTGCTGGAACCATTGCTCTTGGCCTGTCTGTGAGAAGAAGAGAGAGAGGACTCTGCGTTGTGAACCTTAGGAGACGGGGAGGGCGATGGGGAAGGTGTCAGAGTTGGTGATGTGCTTTTAGACGTAGATGAAGTCCCAGATGGAGGTCTTTTGCTCATCTCCAGTTTTTGCTGTAGTTAATGACACAATCATTTCAGTTAATTATTTTTTTTTGAAGTGTTTATATGTGACTCCTTAATATCACGTAAGTTGCGTATCATTTCTGCAGAGCATGTAGTCACAACTAGAAGCTTCTGCTTGATTCATATGGAAATAACTGGAGCAATACCGACTTATCGCAGGTGAGAGTCTGTCCCTTCAAATTCATCAACAAAAATACATTTTTAAGGCTATAATTTTGAAATAAGAAAATGATTATTTATAAAGCAATACTATGTACAAGCACTACAATTTTTTGTTTTATAAAAACTGAAATTACTTTGATTCTGAAGACAGATCTTTTTCATTCAGAGATTTAATTAAATAAAGCCCCAATTAAAGGTTTTCAAAGTGTATCAGATGCTAAGTTAAAGTAGCACTTCATGCTGGATTAACCAAAAATAGCTAGCATAAACTAAGTTTCGAGTGCATTTAAACCCCTTGCTGCACTGGAATGAAAGTTTCCAGTCAACTCTTAAACTTCTTATTATCTGAGTTTAAAACGATTCAGTATTTTGCAAATATTTAATACATTTGGAGGCATGGAAAACAGGAAAATGTAAAAATTAAAATGCGGAATAAGAATATATATGTACGTTTACCAGTATTTTCCAAAACAAGCTAATGTACCTCACCTCCTAAATGCCTCAATCTACGTATAGTTTCACACATTTTGATGTTTGCTTTATTGACCTAAAAATTCTTATGAGATTTTCTCCTGGATTCCTCAATTCAGAGTTTAACAGAAATACCTTCTGTCAGTCACGCTGCTACAAAAAATATAAGAAAAAAGTTGAGGTGGGTAACGAGGCACGAAGGAAGAATGACAGGGGTTCCTGACTGTAAAATGTTCCTCTACGATCTTACTTCTGTGCTATGGCATAAATGGAACTTTTCTACATAATGAAAGAGATGCCAATTAAAAAGGTAAAACCGATTTGATTGGTAACATTGTTCCATCACACTACCCTATGCCAGAATGTACTACCCGCTTAGCCCTCACTGAACTGACTAGAAATAACGTAGCATCACACGAATTTGAGAGGTCTCTGAAAAGCATCGGGAACTTATTTCTAATTTTTGTCCCACATTTCCCTGTATTCTGTCACTGGCCATTTGTGTTTCAAAGCGGTCTTCCCTCTCTTAACATGCTGTGTGCATTTAAATAAACTGCATCACCCTGTAATTAGTCAGTTTTTCTTTTCCTTTCTTTAAGACTTGTACAATCCCACCCGTCACAGATAACTCATCAGTGTAACATCGCTGCATTTTTACATCAGCTGTTTCCAAGTTTAGACAGCATGATCCGAATGGGAGGGCACAAACACTTCCACAATGGATACATACGTTAAATTTTCAGCTTTTGTGTTGTTGATTACATCAACGAAGTAGGCTGATTAAGCTTTTGCAGCCAGTGTGGATCCATATGCAATTGTGTACTCCCAAGACACTGACATCCCAAAAATCACCTCAGATGTTGTGATACATGAACATCTACTGCAAGACCCAGACTGATTTTGTGTTTTGTTATCGGTGGATAGACTGAAACTCATCCAGACAGCTAAGCAAAGAGCACTGAAAGAGCTGTTGCTTTTCCAACATACTAGCATCATTTTTATTTAAAGATCTTTTCAACAGTATGATGAACTGCCTTCCCAGAAGATAACCTGCAAGGCCTTGCAACTCACTACTTCTTCATCCCCTCAAGTCTTCTGCTGTGAGCGGGAGAAATTGTTAAAATTCTTAGTGGCCACACTGTTGTAGCAACAGACCTCGCGATCTGCAGCCCAAAGCCCACAGGCACAACTGTTCTCTCTTAACAGGCTAACTCATATAACTGGAGAAAAGATTGGGGGTGCGGGGGGGGCGGGGTACAAACAGCTCTTCTGAAATAATTTCCAAGATAATTATTTCCATGGCAGGGGGGGTGGAACTAGATGGTCTTTAACATCCCTTCCAACCCAAACCATTCTGTGATTCTATGTTAAAAACAAGCTGAGAGGAACTGCTGAGAGTTTAATTAGAAATATATTAGTCAGGCCACCTCTGAAAGAAAAGTATTTGGTAGCTGTTCAGCAGAGGAGACTTTAATGAGGGAAGACGATAATCAAGTGGCTTTGTCTATAGGAAGGAAAGAGACAGATCATTTATAACCCAGGGAGCAGTCAGATAGAAAAGGAGGAAAGATTATCATGTGGCAAAGAATCAGTATGAGTCCATAGCTCTTCGGGGTCCAGCAGAGTTATAAATTTTAGGTCCCAATCTCATCTTTGAAAAGCAACCAGGAATCCCTTCACAATCAGGACTGATAGACTGGAGAAAAAGTGACTATTCATGGAAACTGTTTTGGCACTAGTAGCTGCCCACTTCTCTTTTACTGATTTTGTCCTCTAGAAATTTTAATTAAATCCCTGAACAACTTTGTAACTTCATTTATCATTGATATTTGGTGATTAAATATACCCATTGCTTACTGTTGCCACATAAGACATCACAGAATGAGAGAGCAAATGGAAGAGTTTTACACTGCGGCCATTTTTGTTTCTTTGGGCAAAACTTCAACAAGAATCTCATTAAAAGATGCAAATAAAACAAAACAAAGCAAAACAAGCTGTTTGGAAATTATACAAGCAAAGAGTTAAGAAATCTTCCTCCTGGTCACGTATTCTAACATTTTCAGAATACCAGACATCAGAACTAAACCCCCAAATTATGTGCTTTCTTTCTCTTGCTCTCTGAAATGCCATGTTTCCCTGTGTGAATAAACCCATGCATTTCACAGTAGTGCATCACACCTTCTGTTACGATGCTACTTTCTGTGCCTCTGCAGATTCTGAAGATTTAAAATCTTCATCATTAAAAGGGTTGTACAAAGCAGTTGTTAACTTCAAAGTACACACACAAAAACGGGCAGGTCCTAAGAGTAAAGCTATTCCAGGAAACTGGTAGGTACATCAGCACAGATAATAATGCCCGCACTCCAAAGCAAAGCCTGACCTTGGTGATGACAAGGTTTAACGTTTATACTCCTTAATAACAACGCCTTGTGGAGCACACTGGATACACACCTATTGTTGTGGTCAGCAGGTTCTGGTACAAATTACCTCTGGATCTGTACTTAGGTTGTGCCTTTGGAGGGAAACTAGCTACACCGCTTCAGAGTGAAGCCCAGGAATAACGAACATAAAACACTGGACCCAATCAGGGCCACAGAAAGAAATAATGAGAAACTAAAATAACAGTGCAGATCTACTCTAAGACCAAGTATTATATTTACTGGTTTTAAAACACAGTGGAATTAACAGTAAAGCAAAATCATGGGTTTTTAATGATAAAAATCATTAAATCATTGTTAATGATAAAGATCGTTATTAGGGTTGAACTTTTGTAGACTTGTAATTAAAAGGAAGGTTTGTGGAGCTGAAAACTTTCCACTACTGTAACAGTAGGCGTTCATTCATTTTAGGCTGTGCAACGTCATGCAGTTACATTTATCAACCACTTGCGACTATTAAAATTAGCCAATTTGGAAGCACAAAAATTTGCATTCTTCTGTACCTTTACAACGTGCCCGTTGCCAACAACTTGAGGACACTGCAGATCAGACAGCGTGGATGAAGGTGTTGACTGGACTGGGCTATGCTGTTGGCTGGGTTTCTGTTCAGGTAAGCCTGCTGCTTTCCTTCTTTGGGCTGCAATCTGAGACAAAACATTATCTGCACTGCCACCTAAGAAAAAAACAAAAACAGAGACAAGGAAACCATCATTTTAAAATGTTTGACGATTCTCAATTCACCTCTCTCCACCACTCACTTTCTTTTTAAAAACGGACTGGATAAAGTTAAGAGTGAGAATTGTAAGGGTCAGATCTGCTCTGCAGCTTTCAGGAAAGGCAACAAAAGCCAACCTTGTCTGTACACACACACAGAGCTGACTTTCACACTCTTGGGTATAGGTTTCATGAGCTGCTTCACCATACTGTCTTTCCAGCTGCCAGACACAATGCTTGCAGCCTTTTTTATAACTGAAAACCATTTTTTTACTTCAAACAAAAAGCAAGTAACATGGGTAAGAGACAGTTCTATGAAATGTATGTTGCAATGAACAGGCATCCACCTGATCCATCGTGGGTGGACTCAATAAAATCTCAGCATGTTTCTTCTGAGACACGGCCTAACGTGCGAGGCTTTTGTTCCCTTATGTATGTGTCCAAAGCCTAATCCTGTTCCAACAAAATCCATTGAATTTTTGCTCATACAGCAGTAGGAGCCCTCAGGAAAGGTTTGTTATCTTCTACCATCAACACACACACAATTTTTTAGCTGAACCACATAAAAATTTTTTTTTCACTAAAAATAAAAGCAGCATGGCACCTGATCTGTTATGCAGTTCTCCTCCATGCCTGTTAATTCCTGCAATGTTATTGGATCCACCAGAAGAATGGGGAGAATGGTTGAAGTTGTTGGAATTCGAAGGAGATGCAGGTCGTCTTGCAAACGTTGGTAATTTGACAGGTCGAGTACCTTTGCTAACAGATGCCTGGAAGACAAGAAGTAAAACAATTTTCATGTTTCCTGTTTGAGCAAAACAAAGACCAAACGTCAACTGCTATTTTATTTATCTAAGTTCTAAACCTTCCAGTGAAGAACAAAAGGGATATCAGAACTAATCTTATTTTACATATAAAAATAAATGTAATATATACTTACATAAGTATGTATACACTGAATATATATATTCAATAAAAGAAATGGCACCATAATAAAGGCATTAATTCCCCTTAAACTTTGGAAAACACAAAATGAGCATACACGATGCACCTGAATTCTGACATGCAACATTACGAGCCGTGGAGAGGGGGGCAGAAATATCACATGTGAAACTTCTTTCCTGCAGAATCCTGATTTTGTTTCTCCCATCTTACAAAACAGCTGCTACCACCTACTTCTCATTCATCATATCCTTGTTTCTTACTAAGCTGTAACAAGTGACATGAACTTTCTCTCCTCCGGCTGCATTTTCATATCCCTTTCAATCTAAATATCTACCTGCACTATTTTATTGACTATTGTTAACTGAGGCACTAACGATCCAGCCAAATCCTCAGACAAATCCTCCTTCAATTCTCTGGCTTTTACAATACTGGCCACTGCCAACCATCTGCCACATCTGCTGAGCTTTTTCATGCCTCTTACCCTGTTGCCCAAATCACCTCTTCCTCCAGCTCTGACTTACGATGTTTCTCTCCTTCTCCCTATTCCCTTAGCAAAACCTTCTTTCCCCACAGAAGGATCAGTGCTAGTCCTCCCCCACTTCCACTGGCCCTTACTTTATATACGGGTGCCAATGATCCACTTATGTTATAACAATGATCATTTTTAGGACGATGAACATCTATCTGCCTTCCTGTGATCTATCACATCCCTTCTAATACTCCACCTTACTGCAGCTAAATCAACTCTACTGGTATAAGCTCACTTAAAAAAGGAAGACAGAAAAATTTCCTCCTAAAATGTCTTCACTGTCTAATTTTTGAAACTGACATGAAATACAGTTCTGGACTAGTAAAATAAACTCTTCTCTGCACTTGGATAGTAGTGTCTAAAGTGAGGGGAGTAGGTACTTCTTTTTGTCCTACTACAAAACCAAAGGTTGTGGAGGTTGTTCTGCATCCTGTCTCAAGACAAATGAGCTGGTTTGGTTTTGCATTTTCACTGAAAATGTTGTAGAATCAGGAAGGCTCCTTCTAGAAAAAGTAGAATTTCTTCAGACTTCTTCCCTTTTTACAGTACTTGCACTTTAAGGCTGTACGTTTTCAAGCCCACTTGATCAGTAATTGCTACAATTTTATCTATTACTGATCTTTCAGAATGTTATGTCTGTTTATTTATGTGTCTGGTATTTCTTTCCTTCCTCCAGTTCCTAAAAATTGAGAAACTTTCATTCTTTTCTTCTGCCCCTAGTCTTCTTCCAGATCAAAGCAGTTTCTGCCACACTCCAGTGATTGCACCTACTTAGGCAAGTGGAACCAGCAGCCACTTTACCAGTTTGCACCAAATTCGTTAAGGCTGGGCTTTATTCTGCTTAAGGGCAAACAAGTCATTTCATTTCATACAAATCTTGTGTTCCATTTACATTCCTTCCCTAGAAATGTGTAGTCTTCCTAAACACCAGAGCTTAAAAAGGTAAGCCATTAGTGAGACAGCGAGTTTAAAGTAGTTTCTAAGCAGATACACAGTGTGGCTCCCCAGTCAGCACGGCCCGGACGTAACACAGCACTTTCAAACACATTTTGTTTGCTTACTATATTGGAGTTCCCACTGCTGTTGAAATCGTGCTTAACCACTCTCTGTGGCCAGGCAGTTCTCACCTGTTCAGCTTTGCCATCTTTGCTGAGTCGCGTTCGGTCAGAATTCCAAAGTTCAAAACTTGAGGGTGGTAAGAAAGGGGGTATCACTGCTTTCAGCTTATCGCTGGGCAGCCTGGTGAAGGGAGCACTGCTTCGCAACTGGGCAAGGGAAACGAGAGAGGGGGGGAAACAAAAAGAACCACTTGGTAAGAACGATTACTGGCACCTGATGACATGGTTTCAAAAAATCAGAAGTTAAATAAAAAGATGGAGACCAATACCTTTTCAAAGAAAATAAAATGGAAACGAGACACAAAAGTAGTATTTGTGAAGAGGTACAGCACACCGTAACAGAGAGAATCCAATGGACATTCTGGCACACGTCAGTATGCTCATTCATTTAACACAATGAATATAGTTCACTAAGTGGCAGAAACTCTCTTCCTTCACTGGGCTGAATCTTGCTTCAAACTGATTTCAACAGGAATGTTAACAAATAATTTCCAAACAAATGACAAGGCAGTCCTCTCTGTAGTCTCAGACAGGACACCTGGAAACAGTGAACAACTGCTTGTTCCTGCTGTATGTGTTCTCCAGAAAGAGAAAAAAACAAAACACAACTGATTTGGCTCCCTGGAGTTCTGTCAGTCAATCACATTAAAAGTTACTCAATCTGCTTAAAAAAAAGAACATAAAAGGATAACCAGCCAAAGTTAATGACCTCTCCAGGGAGTAAGCCGAAGGGGAATTTAAAGCTACATCATAACAAATAAAAAATAGAATACTACAAATAAACATCCCAAAGTAAATATTTCATGATTGTCTCTACTATTCTCACTTTCATATTGCACCATGTTCCATCCATGTTTTCCTCTGCTTGTCAGCAGCTAATAAGATGTTCCATCTATTTTACTAATTCACTGCTGATGATGCAAAGGGATGGGTAACTCCTGAAAACAGGCAGTACTTGTGAACAGCTTCCATACCATACTCCTTGTGGTACTTCTAGTCTAAGAACTACTGATGTATCGCAGCCTGTCAGTTCCTGCCTAGTGACTATGAACAAATGTGCTGGATTCAGCCATTCAGTTCTCTTTCTAATGGGGACTTGGATAGGAAGTAAAAAAAAAAAAACTAGTGGGAGCTGCACGGCCTTCTGAATTGGGCTGAACACACCAAGAACACTGCAACATACCATGGTTGTCAATAATTCATCATCCTTTCCTCCTTTTGCAGTGTTTACACCTGAAAAACATATAAATGATGTTTTATTGTTTACACACTCCTCCTTTTGTTCTCAGGGACAGCCTGATGTTTTCAAACATTCAACAGCTTTACCCTCAGTAAGCAGACAGCACCAAGACTTCCAGTGACACTCTCATGTAACCTAAATTAAAGTTAAGCCAATAGTCTTATTTCACATTACAAACTGTGGTTTTCCATAGAGAGCTACACAATTTCAGTGGATGTGCTCTACAATTTGTGCTCTTCCAATTTCTCTCTTCTCCAAATTATTTGTTTAAATAAATTGGTTTTCATTACATAAATTGGTTTATCAAAGATACTAACAACTTTTGAGTGACCTGTTTCCAGTGTCCCATTTAATGGTGCTTGCTGCAGAACAGTAACAGGGTTGTGTTAGCATTTTCCTCTTCAAATGATGCTGTGCACAGCATTCAGCATGATCAACAGTCAGGAGTACAAACATCTCTCTCTCCATACATATATATACACACTACAAAGACACTACTTGTCTTTTCAGTTATATCAAGCTAAATAAAATCTGACTCAGTACATTAGAAATAGTATCATCTTGACTATCCCATCAGGACTCACTTCCCCCAAGACAACTCTGGCTTTACCACTAGCTTTGTTATTTGTGATCCAAGCTGTAGCAGCATCAAGGTTTCCAGAGGTGTCCGTATCACTCTGTGAAACTGCTTTTATGGTGGAACTTAATGACGGTTCAGGCTCATCAGGAAAAGGCACAAACTGACTGGAAGGAAATCCATGGCGCAATGTCTGAGTCAACTTCAGCTTGCGGAAGCGATTGGACATCCTGCTCCACCAGGACTAGATTGATAAGAAGACACAATAGTTTAGTTCCAACTAAAAGAAAAAAAGAGGAAAAGAAATGTACAATTAAGTAATCCTTACAGCAGTGATAAATCTGTCAAGGAGTTTTTGAGATAAACCACAAAAGCAATGTTAAAGTGGTTTACAATTATCAACACAATCCTTCACCATAATTTCTATGTATAGCATTGATCTCTCTCTGTATTTTCCACCTGGCAAATGCCTTACAATATTTTTCCACACTATCTGGAAAGACACGTTACATTATATATTAGGGCAACTTCAAACGGAAATTTTTACAGCTATGTCGCATTCCCATTAACCTCCAATTTCACCATCCAGTCTTACACACTCTGGCATCGGTGAACTGGCATGTGTATTTTCTGCTTTTTAGAGGTGTGCATAGAAGTTTAGCCAATCTGCATGAAAGATGCTCCTGAAAATTTTCAAAATCGGTGGCAAACTGGAAGAGTTCTGATAGTATTCCTCTCAACCCAAAGATCCACAATCCATACAGTGCTGCTATACAGATAACTTAAACCAGACTGGGAAGACTATAAGCTGAAAAAGAGCAAGGCAAGGCAATCTCAGCTGTGAAAACAACACAAACTTTAGAACTACTGCTCCTACGACCCTCAACCATACAGATATCACATATGTGGAAACCGTTACACAAAAGGATCATCTTTGCTCAAAATAAGACTTATCCAACTATTTACAGACTTACACATTTTTACAGGCAGAGTGCAAGATGCTTCAAGTGTTTAGCAGGACATTTCTCTAGACTAAGCGAGACCTGTAGGCTGTATGAAGACAACCAGTGCAATCCGTATAAAGATTATGCAGATTGTACGTAAATCAGTCAGATTATAAGTATCTTCTGGTTATTTCTCAGTAAGGCTCCTTCCTCCCTTTCTGGAACACTTTAAAATAATAAAGTCAGTCACGTAAGTGATGATATTTCATGAAGGCTGCTTTATGTGATAGCCAAACAAGGTAACACACTTTCCTAGTTTACTCTTTGTTCTTAGCCATTCCTTCTCACCATACGTCTTCCCCTCTTCTCCTTGGCATTTAACATTTTTCAACTGCTTACTAAGCAACTAAGTCTTCCCAACTGACTGACAGTAGAAGTAAGTAATATAAACTGTATACTTACTCCCTGCAAATCAATCCTTCTAGCAGATGATCATTAAAGTGATTTTTAATCTGCACAGAGCATTAGTAATGGATAGATTTCTCAGATCTTTGTATCTCTTTGGAGCCATAATAAATAAAGATTTACATTACTTTCAGCAACAAAGACCTGACTGAAAAAGACAAGACAGACAAATAGTTCAAAGAAAGCAATAAAACCATACAGTTCTTCATGTATGCACCTTCCAAAGGGAACTGAAAGGGACTCGTTTTGGATCCCACACCTTCAGATACAGACAAATTAGAAATAGTAACAGTTTTAAGAAATAACCTGCAAACAAGGAAATTTGAATGAACTATTTTTGTTTAGTTTAGAAAAAAAAAAGATTGAGGAGGATACAATAATTCTTTTAAGTATTCATATAAAAATAAAGGTGGTCACGGAACAAGAACCAATCAACTTAGCATGCAGCAAGAGAGCTATAGCCTGGATCAGGGGGAAAAAAAAATCTGACCACAAGAAGTGACAAACAGCGGAACTGGGAGCTGACGGAGACGATGGCACCAAGGGATCTTCTTCACCACAGTGAAGGAAGAGGGAACAGTAGCTTCCCTCAAGGATGATCTTGGCATGTTCATTCTGTCTCCTTACATAAAGGCAAGTGAGCCTCTTGAGTTCCCGCTCATTTTACATTTCCATGATTTCTGTACACCCCACATTCTGCCATTTGCACTGATCTAGACAGAAAATTTATGTACTAGCTGAGAATAAATATTCTTGGTTTACAGTCCTGGCTCAGCACAGAGCAGCTGTCCACACAGAAGCACTGTTGCTACAAAACCCAGGAGAGGTCCCTCACTTCAGCACTCTCTTCACATGCTGGTACAAAGGGAAGCAAGTTTGATGACACACACGCCCCTCCCCAGACAATATGAAAGTGTCATTTTTACCTCTCTGAACACTTGTAAGGATAATAAGATTGGTAACATAGTTGCAGTCAGACAGCATGGTTAATAAAGTATTAAGCAATGATGGAAGAGGGGACTACACTAGCTTTCAGATTATATATATCAGAGAACTATACAAAATACAATTTCTGCTGAAAAAGTGCCTGATTAAGACTTAAACACTGTCACATTTTGTAGTTTCGAAACCAAATACTTAATCATTCCACACATCAAAATATTAAATTCGTGTTGGTACTCATATGTACATCTTTATCACTGACAAATCTTGTAACTTTTTTTATTTGACTTCATAATCTTTTATGACCCTAACCCAAGCCTTTGCGTCACAACACTGCAAGAGCTGCAATCTGTCCCGTTACTGACCTGCATTCCATAACGCCAAAAGCTCTTCTGACAATCTCCTATCTAAGGCAACTGCATTCTGAAATAAGATCATCTAAATTGGTAAGTTGTATCCTATCAAATAAAAGAATAATCCTATGAAAATAACCACCTGTTGCTTCATATTTAAAACTACAAAACAGATTTGAGCTAAAGTAGAACTTTAAATGGTCTTTAAAATTCACGTCAACAACAGCCTGGAAATTGCCACGTACCAAGGCCATGGTAACATTTATACTAAATAAGGTGAGATCATGGACTCAAGAAGTTTTGAGGTACACCATAATCGAAAAATATTCACCTACATAAACAACAACAGCAACAACAACAAAATAAACTAATACTTTTTCCTTCTCTTTCACAAACAGACAAGGTAAGTCGCAGTATCTTTGTTTAAGTGTCATGCACTCGTCCTGGCTGTATGTTGTTTCTGACTGGACTGCCACCAATTTCCAGTAAAGGACACATCATGCCAGAAGACATGTAAGCCTGAACTGCACACTCTTCCACTCTTCACATTAAAATCGCTGCTGTGATCTTCTTAATTTCCAAAGCCAATAGCCTGTTTATATTTATGGCTGAAATTAAATCTACCTTCTGTCCTAGCGGTAGATAAGACAGACAGCCTCTCAGTCTCCCGGGCTGTCCCACACAGAGTCCCATGAGTATTTTCAAGTACATTACCACATCTTCAGTTTCCTTTCTCCATCATCCTTCTTTCTTCTAGTCTACTAAATAGCAAAAAAGTAAAAAAAAAAAACCCACCCAAAAAACCTGGTGTTACAATTCCTACGTAGAACAAACATAAATAGGCCGTTTCTCACTATGTTAGGAGATACTAGCCAAATCCCCATAACACACCCACTACAATTTCAAAAAAAGAAAAAAAAAAATACCAAGCAGTATAAGAAGTCTACTAAAACTGGAGTAAATTTGGATTTTAAAGGCAAACTTAATTTTAAGATCATAACGGAAATTCAGTTCCAAACTTATGAACATGGTATCTTTCACTACTTAATTACGAGATCTATTTCTAGGCACTGGAATGCTGCAATGCAAACTCTTCCTTACAAGTTTTCCCTTTGCCTTGCCATCTGACAAAAAGAAAGCTGAACACGTACTACGTTTCATAAAACCAAGAAGCACTGCCAAAGAGGAATTTGAAACACACCCACCCCCAAAAACCCCACTTACCTATCAGATCCAAAATACTTCTTAGAGGTGACTTTCTCTGCTTTGTACATTACAGGTAACAATGCATTTGTTATTTATTAAGAGTGACTATATATACCTTTAGACCTCCTTTGTCATCTGGCAATATTGGGACATTTAGGGTTTGCCTACTTCTGGAACAAGGCAACGATGACCTGTTGTTCAGCTTACTCTTGTCCTTGTCTACTTGCATGCATGCTGATGCCAGTAACCGCACAAGCTCTGTGTCTAAAAGAAAACAATTAAGATAGTACTTAGTCTGTTCAGCTTTCCCAAATTATGACGGATAGGCTGACACTTTCCCTATAAATCCCATATAAGTAGTGATTGATCTACCTCTCCAACAAAAAGCAGATGAATCCCAAAACCCCTCTGTCTTGACGTTTCCCACACCTTCTCCCCACACAGTGGGCTGCAGTCCTACCATCGCCTCTCTAAAGGTAATTAGCAATGTAAATAAGCATGCTATTCAGCCAGATGTGACCACGTGAACTGCCTCCTCTCGCGCTCTGTGGAAGTCAAGAACGATATTGTGATGCTCCCTTTTCTCACCTGACACAGAAGAGAGTAGAGAAAAATGAATATTCTTTCTTCAAGCGTAGGTTGCAGAAAAGAAGCTTGAAATTAAATCCCAGAGAGAAAGAGGATGTTCAGCCTGGACAATGAAGGGACTGAAAAGACATGGTAAGAAAAAAGGTGTACAAAAAAGTAAGAGAAACAAAAAAAGAAAGGAATAGGAAGAAAAAAGAACAAGCATGAGATGAGGACAGGAAAGGAAAAAAAATATTCTGTAAATCTGTATTTTATACCCAAGTCTTTCAGATGGGCAGGCAGAACTGACCTACATATATGAAGACAGGTAACAAGACAAACTACTCTGTCCTACTAGAAGTTAGTTATAAAGTAATTCACTGTATTTATTTTCTAAAATTTTAGAGGTATCTGCTAGTAGCCAAGAAGGTATCTGCTAGTAGCCAAAAATATCATAATGAGTAAATACAGAGAAAACAAACTTTAATTCCATCAGCAGCAGTGTTTTTTGGCTACAGATAAAACAACTCAGGCAAGGTTAACAATAACAAATTATACAGGTTGAATAAACAACAACAAAAATGAAATGTGGTTCATTGAACTCTCCCCAACACATGCTGCCTTTTTCTAATACACTCCCACAAAACCAACCTGAACCCTGAAGTGTGATTTATTCTCAGCCTTTTCCTATAAGACTTAGTGGGAGGTTCAGCCAGTAGTTCACTAGTTTTGTTCCAATTGTACTCTCTTTGTCCTGTTCCTTTCCTGCTGTTTATTGAGTGGAAATTTCTAGCTCCAGTTCTTAGCTCTGTGCTAGTGACACTACAGAATACCTAGGCCACCACAGTCAGATGCCACTGAACTGACTCTGATGACACAAACAATATATTTTGGAGCATCTTCACAAACAAAGGCAAGAGGAACGTACAAAACCTGTTTTACCATAACCAATTAACTCAAAACCCACCATTTTCAGGAAGTACCCTTTATTGGCCCAGTCCAGCCTGGCCATCAGATGATACTTCCTACTAACCTTAATGTATTTTCTAGATTGGAAGGGATGTTCATCTGTTTATGTTATATATTTCCTCAGTGCTCTTTGACATAACATACCTGGATCATTCAGCAGCATTATCAGGTCAAAAGCTGTGTAACCATTTTTTGCACGAAGATTGACATCAGCACCTTGATTTAACAAATACTTCACAATGTCTTTGTTTCTTTAAGGGAAGAAAAAAAAAAAGGCATTGCTCATTAAAAAAAAAAAAAGAAAACCCTAATACTCCATTTTCATGCTTTTAGACCATTGCTCCTCAATTAGAGATCAGAGTTTTACCTTTTCTATAGCGAACCAAGTCTGAAATTTGTTCACAAGCTATGCAGAACCTGCCATGATTCCTTTGTCAGCCACTGTTTACTCACTATGAATTACATTAATCAGCATGCAGGAAATCAGCTTAAAAAAAATTATATAGCAATTTTCTTAAAATGACTCTGGAACTGACTCTGGAATTTGTTGCCAAGCACCTTCCCGGTGAAAGGCCATTAATGCCTAGGGCAAAAAAAAGCAGATGAAAAGAGAAAGGTCAGTCCAGTACTCATCACAGGCCATCACTAATACTTCAATACAACTTCATACTCAGAACAGGTCAAGAAATTCCATACAGAAAAGCCAAATTGACTAGAAGATCATTCATAAAAAACAGAGAGTACTTCACTTAATTGGAGATATAAATTATATAATTGAGAAGGCACATTATCACTTCCTCAAGGTGTTTAAAATGCAAAAGCAATCAGCATTAAATAACCAACACAAACAATTTCCAACAAAAGCTCATAAAAGCTAGTTGCATAAAAGGAACTCACTATCCCATCCCCACTAGCCGCCCTGCCCTCCCATGCACCTGAATAAATAATCAGGACTTGACTCATGAATTACAAACAATACCATAATTCAGCCTGCAAAATACGCAAACAGGCAACAAAGCCATGGAAAAACATATGTAATACAAAACTCCTCCTGAGCAGAGGCTGACCTTGTATAAAACCAAACTCTGACATGTATAAGCAACACAAGCAAAAAAGTTCTTAAGTAGCAGCAGGTGACTGCAAACTAGTCACCATTTCCCACAGCATTCTCCTGGAGAAACTGGCTGCTCACAGCTTGGAAGGGTGTACAGTTCGCTGGGTATAAAACTGCCTGAATGACAAGGCCCAAAGAGTTGTGGTGAATGGAGTTCAATCCACTTGGAGGTGAGTCACAAGTGGGGTTCCCCAGGGCTCAGTACTGGGGCCAGTTCTCTTTAATATCTTTGTCAAAAATCTGGACAAAGGGATCAAGTGCACCCTCAGTAAGTTTGCAGACACCAAGCTGGGTGGGAGTGTTGATCTGCCGGAGGGAAGGCTCTGCAGAAGGATCTGGACAGGCTGGATCAATGGGCCAAGGCCAACTGTATGAGGTTCAACAAGGCCAAGTGCTGGGTCCTGCACCTGGGTCACAACAACCCCCTGCAATGCTACAGGCTTGGGGACGAGTGGCTGGAAAGCTGCCTGGTGGAAAAGGACCTGGGGGTGTTGGTCGACATCCGACTGAACATGAGCCAGCAGTGTGCCCAGGTGGCCAAAAAGGCCAATGGCATCCTGGACTGCATCAGGAAGTGTGGCCAGCAGGACTAGTGCAGTGATCATCCTCCTGTACTCAGGACTGGTGAGGCTGCAACTCAAATCCTTTGGGCCCCTCACTGCAAGAAAGACATTCAAGTGCTGGAGCGTGTCCAGAGAACGGCAATGGAGCTGGGGAAGGGTCTGGAGCACAAGTCCTGTGAGGAGCAGCTGAGGGAACTGGGGGTGTTCAGCCTGGTGAAGAGGAGGCTCAGGGGAGACCTTATTGCTCTCTACAACTGCCTGAAAGGAGGTTGTAGCCACGTGGGTGTTGGCCTCTCTTCCCTGGTAACAAGCAAGTGCTGGAGCGTGTCCAGAGAACGGCAATGGAGCTGGGGAAGGGTCTGGAGCACAAGTCCTGTGAGGAGCAGCTGAGGGAACTGGGGGTGTTCAGCCTGGTGAAGAGGAGGCTCAGGGGAGACCTTATTGCTCTCTACAACTGCCTGAAAGGAGGTTGTAGCCACGTGGGTGTTGGCCTCTCTTCCCTGGTAACAAGAACAGAACAAGAGGAAACAAAGTTGTACCGTACCAGGGGAGGTTTAAATTGGATATTATGCCTCCACCAAAAGGGTTGTCAGGCACTGGAACAGGCTGCCCAGGGAAGCGGCTGAGTCACCATCCCTGGAGGTATTTAAGAGACATGTACATGTGGCGCTCAGGGACACAGTTTAGTGGTGGCATTAGCAGTGTTAGGTTAACAGTTGGACTTTACAATCTTAAAAGACTTTTCCAACCTAAAAGATTCTGTAATAAGCAACTTCTATGATTCTATGATAAAATCTAATACTGAAGCTGACAGATTTCAACCTCTCTACTTCAGAAGGTTACTTCTTACTGTACAAAGCTTTCACTATTGAAGTCACTCCAGATAAAATCAACCTAAAATGGAGGAGGAATGTTTCTCCTCTTTTCTAACAAAAATTCTGCTTACCCCTACCACAGCTCCTCTGCAGACCTCCCATTACTTCTCTTGCTTAAAACTGTGTCATCCCCCATCCTGCTTTCTGGTCCTGCACCCTGAGGGCACACGGAGACACAATCCCTTAGTGCCCCTGGCTCACAAAGATCTTGCCTGCCCCCTCCTTCGAACCAGAGACCCTCCACACCACTGTTGCTCCAGCTGTTACAGAAATTCACAACTGGCCCACGCTGACCAAGAAGAAAGGCTAAGACATGAAGTACAGCATTACAAGGGTAAATATTTATTCATGCATATGAGGTGTCCCAGCCAAACCCTGTCAACCCAAATGCAGCATTACGCCGCATTCTTGGAGAGTTTAGGTCCAACATGATTCGACTAACCACTAACACCCACACTACTGACTACTAATAACAGAGTAGCTTTGCAAAGCAACTGTATTTCTGCAGCATTCTTGCTGCCCATCTATTGATCCGGATGTCCCTGAAGTCAGTCTTGCCTACCCATGACATCAGACAACACTGGGAGGGTTTCAGCAACATGCTAAAGGGCTTATGATGCTGGCATTATCTTGGTTGACCACAGGTAGCTTTTATCCTTCATAGACAGCTATAAGTTTCCAAGAAGCCAGGAATAAGTTTCCTCATTTCCAGGGCTGGGATGTCCTTCTGGTCATTCCACTGAGCCAGTGTCCATTAGTTTGTTTTACATAAGCATGAACAATACCAAAGTCTCCATTAAAATCCCACTACCTCAAACATTAGGCGTATTAACAAAGTTAATACAATTTCACACTACAGAAACTGACTGATGCAATAGGGAAGGGAGTTTTCCTTACACAGCCCTCCAGGGAACTGGAGGGGCAGTATCTGAACACGCGCAGCACTCGGGTGCAATCTGTGCTTCCACAGACAGTCTGGTGCCTGAGTACCAGCAAGGGGACGTGCCAGCAGCTCTGCACACCACCTTCTGCTGGCTGCTCCTGCTCCAGCTGTGCTGCTAAGTGAAACGGACGCATCAGAAAAAACGGATCTTCAGACACTTGTGCGAAATGCCTATCGACACTCGGAGTACTGCATTGGTGAGGAAGCAGAGAATCTCATCTTATGTAGGTCCCAGGAGCTAGTTCTGAAAATTTTCACAAAGTAGTGACAACCTGACCTCCTATTTTTTCCCCTTCCTAGACTGAGTATCCTGCATTCAGACAATTCCAAAGATAGGGCAGAGATCACAGGTGAAGTACCAGGCCAATTTCTAGGGTCAGACTCTTAAGTGCCTACCTGCGTTTATAAAGTGGCTTGAAAGGAAACAACAGTCAGCTCTCTAGTTGGCACATTTCAGAAAACTCTGTGAAAACTAAAGGCTGAACAGGGGAACATAAGAATGGTCTTAAGACTGGAAAATACGGCACACAGAAGGGTGATTGCCTTGAAGTTTCACAACTTGACGTAGGCCTACAACCCTGGCAGGGGGCGATGCTCTTCTACAAAACACTAAAAGAAACATCAAAGTGTGGAAGTTGAATTCTGTACCAAAGCTCTCAGTGCCTGGAGCACTATGTCCCCAGCACTTACTGAGCAAGATTCAAGTTCCCAAATGTGCCACTCATTCTGAAATCCAAAGGGCATTCAGGTCTACACTGGAAAGCTCAGGGCAGTGCAAGAGACATGGACAACTGAGGTCAGAAGTCTTCTAATTTGTTGTAAGACCCCTCTGCTTCCAGAGTCAGTATTAAAAAGATTTTTTTCTATGGGGATGTAAGAAGAATGAGAATTCTTTACCATCAGACCCAAAGTCAGCATATATCTTACCCGTGGTATGTGGCCTGCATTAGTGCTGTCCAGCCATGAACGTTATCCTGTTTGTCAATATCAGCATTCTTCTCAACAAGCAGCTGAACAAGGGGCAGCTGTCCAGTGACAGCAGCAATCATTAATGGAGATGCACCATCAACATTGGTAATATTGACCTGACTTGGGTCTTCATCAGCGATTTGTTTAACCAGCTGAAAGTTTCCTGAAAAACAGTGATAAAACATAATCTACATGAGCACCAGAGAACAGTTTAGCTACTAAATTAATACGTCTTTTGATTTGCTGACACTGGGCTACATTTAGACGAATTAAAACAGAAAAAAAAATTATAGTACTAGATCAACTGCAACACTGAAGCTAAATATTTCTACTGATCTTTGGTGTTCTAGTTAATCAGTACATCTTCCCAGGCTACACAAAACTGTGGCATAAGCACAAGGCACTTTTTGCCTCTTTTTCCCTACCTGTACATTTACAGTACCATTCCACTACAAGAACCATTTTCTGAAATGAATGGCTAAGCCATAAAGGCAGTATAAATTGCACTGTATCTCACATGTGAAGGGACAAGTAGGGAATATTTCTATTAAATTGTCATAAGACAATGTTGTGCAAGGAAAACTGATGATGTGGAGACAACGTGATTTGTCCTTCCGCAGGACCAAGATCCCTGTTCCATTTTCAAAGGCTGAAATCACAGAAAGCAACAATTTTAGAATCAAAGAGAGTGGGCATAAAAGCATTCTGAAAGGTGAAGAAGGCCATCCCTTTCCTTAAGCAGGTAAAACAATGCCCCGTGTCACACTGACCCGTAAGTTCCTCTTACAAAGGTGGTTCGCTGACTCAAAACCTCTGATAGAATTCCACAACCTGCCAAGGACTTAATCTATTCCAGTGCCCACCTTTCTTACATTCAGATATGTTTTGGGTTTTTTTTTAATTCTACCTCCAATACTTAAACTAAACCTCCAACAAAAAACTTCTTTACTCCTTTCTCAAAAGTAACGTGTTTTCTGTCATCTTTCTAGTTCTTTAAAAGTGAACCTATCGTTCAGTTTCCACATAAAAAGGCTGGTAGTCACTGAGTTCTTGTCTAGATTACGTAAAGCAGTACAAACTATGCTACTGAACATATTTTAACCAGGTTGTGGGCTTTTTTTCTAAATCTTAACACAAGTAGGAACAAGCACTTTTTAAAAATGTATGAGGTAGTCAGGGTTATCTTAAGCAAGGAGCTTAAGCTCACCCACCTCCCTTACTTTTTGGATGACATGTTGCAGGCAAAAGCAGGGAAGAAGTTAAGAGGAAAAAAAGATGTCTGTGATGAGTATGTAACACTTAAGAACAGAGGCAAGAAGCAGCAAGTCATCAACTGCCATGCCAACAGAAAAATTCTCACCTTGAAAAAAACCTTCAGATAGTAAACTGTTTCATGACACAGGCTGCCTTCAACTCAGCCACTGCCGTGAACATTTTCCTCGGAAAGCCGGTTAGTATCCCAGACAAACTCTGAACTCACTTGAATGCACTCACTTAAACTAACACTCACCCACTCTACTCAGCTAATTTCTTGGAATGGGAAAGATACAAATGCACATAATTACTGTTTTGTCCCAATTTAGTAAAAGACAGGAGGTGACTTTTTTAACACAGACCCACATCACAGGCTTTGTTCAACAAAAACCCTGGAACCTACCCAGACTCTAAAATTTACTTTGAATTCTGGCCTGGATACTTCTTAACCTAGTGAGTTGGGGTTTTTTTGCCATCCATAGCCAAGTATTTCAGAAAAAAGAAAAAAAAAAAACCAAACAACAACAAAAGGAGTATGCTGACAAGTATTCATTTGGCTCCCTCCCTTAAGATTCCTTCCAACCCAGCACCAACATTTATACATCTCAAACTAAAAGTCACAGGGGTACAAGAAGGGCAGCTGAACTCTCCAAAATCTAACAGACCTGAGGCTTTCCCAGGAAGAGGTTTTGGTAGCTTCCATGTGAGCAGTCGACATTTAAGAGAGAGCTCCTGGTACTGCCGCCACCTACACCTCTTTCTTCTCTGCTAATATGTCCGCCCATTTCCAGTTCTGGCAGCCTGAAAAGCCATAAAGTTCCTGAGAAGGTGACTTACGATCGTTAACTGAAAGGCAACTGGTAAACCGATGCACCAAACCCAGGATGAGATCTGAGCACTAAGGCCAGGCTTGACTACCTCTAACTTTTCAATAGGAATGCAGCAACAGTAAAGCCTGGAAGATAATTGTTGATTTAAAGATGCATTGCTGAAATCCATTTGCATAGATGTTCAGGAAAAAATGGCATTTTCCTTCACAAAAATATTACAAATCATTTACAAATAATAATAGTAAGAAGAAGAAGACCTAAGTATCCATCAGAAACCGTGGAAGTTGCTAACTTAGAGCTCTCTTCAGGTTGCAGCTCCCTGGCGAAAGCAAGAAGGTGAACCATACCAAAGGCTTCATGATTATGTTACAATCAGGAGCGGGAACATCGGCAGAGAAGTTGGAAGGAGAGGTAGTTGTGCTTAACTCTATAGCTCACTTACTCAGTATGCACATATCACAGTCGGGGGGTAATGTCAGCTTTCAGTACGCCATGATCGTATTTTCTGCACCACAGACATAGAAAGCACAACACCAGTAAGGATTATGAGGTCCACTGCATACACAAGGCTGTATTACCAATGTTTCCGCATTATCTGGGTCATCTGAGTCCCAAGTAAGGACAGGCTGACTGAGTAAGAGACACACACCCCACCCCTCAGGACTCATGGGACACCTCTCATGACTTCACTGGACATAAGATTCATTCTCATATGGGAATGACATCTTCCAAGATTTAAAAAAAAAAAAAGAATCCATCAGGGGCTTTTTTTTACCATTTACCAATGAATGATTTTTTTTTTTTTCCCCTAAACGTCTGTATCGCTAGGGCTGCTGGCAACAGGCTAAATGTGCTACCAAATAGCTGAGAACATTCAAATGGCAAAATATCAACTGTAAGAGCAGGAATCATAGAATCATAGAAT